GCCAGTATCCGCGTGCTGACGCAGTCGGACTCACGGCCTTCCTTCAGTGTGTGGGCAGCGACTGAAAACAATGCTTTTGTGTTCAAGCATTCGTGAGCTGAGGCGTAATCCTACTTTGTCAGTATAGCGGCTAGGACAGTTACGGCATGGGATTTGATAAATTCACTATCAGTATCAGTATATTTCAGGCAAAGTAGGTGTGTACTTTTGAAATCCCTATTGGTTACATGCAGAGGATATATATGGAGGAAATGGAAAGGAAGTAACATGAAAGAAATGCGAGGGGAATAGCAAAAACTGTACAGATGAACACAGAATGTCATGCGTTAACAGAATTTAGAGGCACATTAACTTGCTTTGTTGATCAAATACAGCGGACAGTTGAGGCACACTTAAGAAACGGGAAAAGAAGTAAAATTGTTTAGTCTACAGGCATCGTGGTGAATGCGAACAGCGGTGTGCGACGTGGCCCAAACTTACTAAAGTACATGAACATATATTACTTAAATGTTAGTAGTAGCGTCGTTATAACACCACATTGTCAAGGTGGCCGTAGTCTGGCGTTATTGTGGTGCGCGCTACAATGCTGATCTAGCCTCCATTTAAAAGTATCTTCCGAGCCCGACATAACAACATCCTCAGGCAAGGCCACCTCAGGCCCACCTCTGTCCAGCCGATCCTTCATCTTCTTAATTCCGGTGCGCGTGGTAACTGCCGGACGGTGGGCGATGCCAATGCCTAACTCTGCTGCAATGCTCTCAGTGGCCTCGGACACATTAGCTAGGTACAGTGGCGAGTGGAAAATCGTTGGCACTTCTCTACCGTTTGGCCGTCGCGGGTGCGAACGACATGAACCAGACCTACTCACGGTACGACTGTATAATTATTAACACGTTGTAGCATTCAAACAGCCTTTGATGGTGAACACTTATTCAAGTTCGAAACCTCAGGTTAATAAGGGTACCCTCCCAATGATTGCGCCCTTGTCTTCTTCTCAAGGAGGCTTTTTTTTCATCGCAAATCGAAGAATATAATGTTGTGACCTTCGCACTTGACCGAGGGAAGTAGGACCTCTGTCAAACTAAATTATTGGTTTTAGGCGGACCACGTACGGTATTTGGGCGTCAGTGTGTACTGAGAGACGTAGGACACTCATGCAACGCACTTATTTTATATCACAGAATAAACAGTCGAAAGGGAATTCCGCCTGCATCTACCCTGATTATTCCTTAAAACAGGAATTATTTCGGCAGGGTTCCTAGACCAACGCAATAAGCGACTGCCTGTGGCAGACCAGAAAGTGTCCTGGTGACAATTAACACCATTTCAGTCAGCTGGATTGCCTACAGTGCCTGGTGTTTAAGTTCACATGAACGCTTTGCCTGTCCCTTCTGAGACCATTTAAATTCCCTAGATACAGGTCAACCTGGAGCATATGCTGTTCACCGCTTCACTTTTCTGATAGCGTTTAGATCCTAAGTCAAAAGAGCGAACGTACCTCCGTCGAGAAAGACACATACACTAAATTGCGCCTTAGTTAGCACACAGGCGAGGATGCCACGAGGGCCACTGTATTACGAAGGTATCGCAATCTGACTCACAATCCTGACTGAGATCTTATCATTCCCTTAACTCCACCTTAGCTGCTTCTGCAGAATACTGAAGCTGAGTTGGTATGTAAGGATCCCGGGCACAAAAGTCCTCGAGTCCATCTGAGTCCTCAGCGTCTACGCCATGATGAGGCAAATTCAACCGAACCTGAGCGGCCACTTTACAAGGATGGATGACGAGTGCTTACCAAAGGTACTCTTCTGTTGCGACTTGTCTATGGGTGCTCGCCGACAAGGCAAATCAAAAAAGGCCGTACAAGCGCAAACTGAAATCATCTCTCATTCATGTGCAAAATAAAGCAAAGACTATTTATGACCCCACCCACGACCGACCAACCTGGAGAACAACAGTGAAGACTGAAGCAAAAAGCAACAAAGTTGACTGGATCACTTTTAGCAAAATAAAAGGAGTGTTCGGATGGCCTCATTCACCTCCGACCACACCGTCGATTCCAAACCCCTTGGCACATGTATCCGCTTTCGACGAAAACTTCCGCTCACGGGCCGGCCTAGTCCGACGTCTTGGGACTCAGTTCAACAACGAAACCAGGAGTTTACCTACTGCCTCCTCAAACGCCCCCGTAATCTCCCTTGCACCAACCTCCACAGGAGCTAAGATGGCGAGGATCACCAGCAATGATCACACGCCTGATGCCCCACCGATACCACCGCATACCATTACCTTCATCATTCCCACCACAAGCTCCGGGACGACGGCAACGGCGATTACCACCGTCCCAACTCCCACCACTGGTGAGAAAAACCTGGACGCCCCGCTAGCTGCCGCCGCCGCCGCAACCACCACTAGCATCACAAATGTGGACTCGGTAGCTAGCTGTTCTCAATGCGATCGCACCCTCTGTTCGCGCACCCATCCGGTCGGTCATTCGGGAATCCATTGAACTGAGATTGGTTGACCAGTGCTAGGAGAACTAGCATACACGCCTCGCCCTCGCCTCGGGTTTTAGAACTTCTCGCGGACATCCATCCGCTGCTTGGGCCCACGCGGTCCACATATGCACGCATGAAATCCAGCGGTAAAACATCGCCCCTCCTCGCCAGCACACACACGACAGTTCGACCGTCGATTTCGACGATGTCGACCGTGTGCCCCACAGCAGGTGGGAGCAGGGACGGTGACTTGCGCAGGGGTTTATAGTGCCAGTAGACTTGCGTAGCATCTACCTACACTCTCTCCTCCTCCCCCGCCTGGGCCCGGTGTCAAGACAGAGTCAAGAAGACCGGAGACGAGGGAGGCCGCAGGTGGATGGCTCGGACGGATCCTCACCTTGGCGTTCCACCACACCCCCTGGTCCACACAACAATAACCAGGATTTCAACCAACACAACAGAGATTTGGAGGCTGGCACGACCGAAGCCGCACCTAGGCTTGCCGCCAACGCCTGGCTCGGATCGCACACTTTGGTGGGAGTGCCATAAAGGCCACATTAAGAAGGAGCCATTGCAGCCTGACTCTCAGGCCACCACCAGGGAAGGAGGAGGTCCAAGTTACTTCGTCAGTCTGCAACCTTCCAAGCCACGGCTTTTAACGCACCGTGATAGCTTCAAGAGCGTCAGATTGATTATAGTGAGGAAAGTGCGCTGAGTCGTCGACCTCACTCTCCCTTCGCATCCCCACACCACAGCCACTGTCCGAGCCGGTCAGTAGACTGGAGTGGGAAATGGGCGCGGTGGCTGGCAAGGTTGACTGACCACGCCTGCGCGCGCCACAGCACGACCTGGTCCCCCATACACACACAAACACCAGGATTTCACACAACGGGGGTTGAACGGCGTGTCTCTCACTTGCGTGAGAGGTTCGTGGAAGGTGCTGCTTCAGCCCGTTGCCCAGCCCACCAGTCCGTCACTCTACACAACACACGCAACGCGACGAACTGCGTGGACCGAGTAGGGCGTCAATCAGCAACCTTCCTATCCACGACGCTCGACGTGCCGGAATAGTCTCGGACTCAAATCACCCGTGCAACCGAAGCCACATGAGGATCGAGTCGAGATGCACACTTCGAACTTGCGTGGAAGGTGGCAGTTGGTGCATGCGGTGGGTGGGTGTTGATGTGTGGTAGGGTGGTGGCTGTGGAGGAGTCACCGCGGGAGTGTGTTGTGGTGTAATGTAGCCGGCGGTTGTCTACCGCAGGTCGTCGTGGTTACGCATGTGGCCGAACATGCCCATACGATGCCTGAAAGCGCGAGGACAGTGTGGGCAGTTGAGACGAACTTGGCGGGTGTAGGTTGGTGCCCCAGGCACTGGTTCGTCAGTCTCTGTGCGATGTAATCGCAAGTGACCGATCAGGCCGATGCGTGAGATGAACTTGCGTGGAGAGTGTGGGCATGAGAGGTCCACGGTGTCGGTGTCAGCTGCAGAGGAGACGGTGGTGATGGTGATGGGCGTACAGGGTGATGGAACGAGGGTGGGGTTGGGAATGGTGGGCGTGTGGAACGTAGTTGGTGTGCCGGAATTTTGGTCAATTCCGCTCTCGTGGATGCGCATGTGGCCGAATAGACCCATGCGATGCGTAAAGGTGCGAGGGCAGTGTGGGCAGTGGAGGCGAGTGCGGTGGGTGTAGGTCGGTGCTTCAGGCACTATTTCGCCAGGTTCTGTGCGACGTATTCGCAAGTGACCGACCAGGCCGATGCGTGAGGTGAAGGTGCGATCACAGTGAGGGCAGGTGTAGTCCTGATCCTCATCGATGGGGTCAAAGGAAGGGTGGGGGTGGTGTCGGAGGTTGTGTCAGGGTTGGTGATGTGCGAAATGGTCGCATGAGCGGCCTTCGTTGCAGCAGTGGAGGAGGAGGATGAGTTTAGAGATTGCGGGACTGTAGAGTGGTCAGAGGTAGTGGGCAGCAGAGATGATGGGGAAGAGTAGAGCGGACGGACGGCGGTTGTTGCGGTCCGAGAGGCGCTGTTGATCCGAAGATGTCCAACAAGTCCGATTCGAGCCCGGAATGTCCGTTGACATCGAGGACGCGTTGCTAGCGGTTGTGTGTCGGCATTGCGGACTGCGCGAAGTTGTGATTTGCGGGCTTCGCGTTTCAATTTGACGGTAGCGATGCGGTTGGCTTCGTAGATCGCAGCGCCTGTTTACACTGTCCTCCTCCAGGTCAGTCGGTCGAGTGCGAGCTCTTCTCAGTTGGTCGGGTTAATTTGCAGCCGCTTCAGGGAGGACTTCAGAGTATCCTTGTGTCGACGAACTTGGCCTCCTTGGTGGCGAGAACCCGTCGCGACGTCTCCGTAGAAGAGTCGTTTGGGTGGTCGCTCGTCGTCCATGCGCACCAGGTGGCCGCTCCAGCGCAACTGCATTTGTCTCAGCATGGGGCAGATGCTGAGCATTCCCGTACGTCCTAGCATATCAGTGTCGGGAATTCGATCCTGCTAGTTCAGCCTCAGGATGCAACGGAGACAACTGAGGTGGAAGTGGTTCAGACGGCGTGCCTGCCTCGTGTACACCGTCCAAGTCTCTGCTCCATACAGTAGCGTCGGCAGGATGACGGCCTTGTACATCTTCAGCTTCGTGCTCAGTTGAAGTCTGTGACGGTTCCAAACTGTGCTTTTGAGGCGACCGAAGGCTTGGCTGGCTTTCGAGATCCTGTTGGCGACTTCGTCGTCGATCTTGGCGTTGCGGGAGAGGGTACTGCCCAGGTACGGGAAGTTCTCCACCACTTGCAGTTGGGTTCCGTTCACGCTGATTTGCGGCGGCGCGTTGGGGGCTGTGGCTGAGTTGGGTGGCGGTTGATGCATCACCGCCGTCTTCTGTGTGTTGATGACGAGACCAAAGTTCGCGCAGGCGGCGGAGAACAGGTCCCTGCTGCGTTGCATCTCCTCTTCTGAGGTGGTGTTCAGGGCGCAGTCGTCGGCGAAGAGAAGTTCGGGCACGGTAGTTGTGGATACGCGCGATTGGAAGTTCATGCGCCGTTGATTCAGGAGATGACCGTCCGTTCTGTAGGCGATGCGGATTCCAGGGCGTTCGTCGCGGTAGGCGTCCATCAGCATGGCAGAGAACATAAGACTGCAGAGGGTTGGTGCCAGCACGCATCCCTGCTTCACTCCGTTGGTCACTGCGAATGCCTCTGAGACAGCTGCGTTGTCCGTGACTCGCGCCATCATACCGTCGTGCAGCTGATGCACCATCTGAGTGAATCGCTCCGGACAGACGAATTTCTGCATGATCTTCCACAGTCCTTCACGATTCACCGTGTCGAAGGCTTTCGTCAGGTCCACGAAGGTAGAGTACAGGTGGGTCCGCATCTCCTGGCACTTCTCCTGAAGTTGACGGGCGGCGAAGATCATATCCATGGTCCCACGATGACGACGGAAGCCGCATTGGCTTTCCGGCAGAAGGCCCTGTTCCAGATGGTTATTGAGGCGGTTGAGGAGGGTGCGAGCGAAGATCTTCCCGGCGATGTTTACCAAGGAGATGCCACGGTGGTTGTCGCAGACTTGGCGATTCCCTTTTCGCTTGTCTAGGTGCACGATAGTTGCGTCTTTGAAATCTTGCGGGACTTCACCTTGACGCCACATCTCCTGGAAGAGCACAGTCAGGTGATCCATCAGTAGGGGACCTCCGTGCTTGTAGACCTCAGCAGGGATTGCGTCCGATCCGGGTGCTTTCCCGCTGGACAGCTGCTGCACGGCCCTGGTCGTTTCCTGGAGAGATGGCGGGAGGTCGAGGTCCACGTTGATCTCCACTTGCGGCAGGAGGACAATGGCGGCATCGGAGATGGCGGGGGGGGCGGTTGAGGACGCCTCGGAAATGCTCGGCCCATCGCTGTAGGATTTGTGTCTTCTCAGTCAGGAGAGTACTGCCGTCGGCGCTGAGGAGAGGAGCAGTGCCCTTCATCGGCGGACCATAGACAGCTTTGATCGCAGTGAAGAAGTTCTCCCATTCGTTGCGGTTCGCGTAGCCTTGGATCTCCTCAGCTTTACGAGCAGTCCAGGCGTCCTGCATCTCGCGCAGTCGCTGCTGAAGGTGGCGACGACTGCGGTAGAAGGCAGCTTTGGTGGCATCAGTGGGGTGATCTACGTAGGCTTTGTGTAGGCGGTTCTTCTCAGCAAGCAGGTTTCTGATGGCGGCGTCGTTGTCGTCGAACCAGTCCTGGTGTTGGCGGGGAGCGCGACCGAGGACGGCGAGCGCCGTCGACTGGACCGTGTCTCGCAGTTGACACCAGCGGTTCTCCACGGAGGCGTTCTCGGCAGCGGCGGTGTCGGCAGCGATAGGAAGGTTGTCTAGTCGTTGAGCTAGCTCATTGCTGAAATGAAGATGATGAGCGGGCAAAGACAACAAAGCAACATTCAGCTTACCTGGGGGTCGCTTACCTTGTGGTCTCCTGCGAGGCTGTAGGCGAATACGCATCTTCGAGATGACGAGGCGATGGTCTGCCCACCTGTCAGCACCCGCCCAAACCTAGGCGTGCCACCACGCCCCCTGGTTCACAACATTGTGCCGACCTTGGAACTGTGGAACTGACTCTTGGTGAGTTTCTATATCAGTTTGGCCATTTCGAATCGCGCGTGAAAGCAACCATATATACGGCCTTTTTCCGTTAATGCATTTGGATATGCATGTGTGGGGGTTTCAGCATAGCACGAGAGATGTGCAAGGTTTCTTTTGTTTGGAGACTATGCAGTTTTATGTATATGCATTCGCGATCTATAATTCTCGCATTGGCATGAAGGTTTTTTGTCGGCAAACCAGTGCCATTTTTTAGACGAGGAGCATTCTGGGAGAAATAATGTCAGATACCTCGCTCCATCGGAGCGGACAAATACAGTGCCCACACTTGACCAAAGGCGGCTTGCAGAGGTGGAGAATGAAGTGTTCGCAACGAAAATGCACGATTCTGGTAGGGGTAATCCGATTGACTTCAGAGCGAATGGGAACCGGACTGAGTCAGTGGTTGACAAGGCTGAACAGCACGTCTACGCTTGCAGAGAACGACCTGGTCCGCGTACGATGGGGCAGGTTTCCACAGGAATATGGGGATGGTTTCGATAGCATCTGAGTAGGAGTCCCATATAGGCCACAATAAAAATCAGCCCATACAGCCTGAATTTTATCACCGATAAAATTCGATTATCCTTTTATTTGGCAACCTTACGATTCGCGACGTTTAGTGCATCAAGATCGTTTTGAAACTCGTCAGATTTACTATATCGTAGAATGCACTGAGTGCCGTGACGATGAAATGGCCAGAGTCGATCGAACTCATTCTCCCATCTCACGTGCACCAGTCGACTCCCCGACCCTGCCAGTCCTCTGCCGCGGGATATAGGGGTATCCAGCGGTGGGTCAACGTGACGGTCCTAGCAGATCGTTCGCTTGATTATAGACTACGCCCAGCGTCCATTTGCTGGCACCCAATTCTCACATGTGATTCCCCGAAGCTAGGCTCCGCCTAACGCCCACACCCCGGTAACCGCCTCAACAGGCGGGCTAAACCAGGTGAGGGTATCCATGTGTGCATCTCCGTACACGGTAATCTCGGCTCTGCTAGCCGACATCGGCATCTCCATGACGAGGCTCCGTCTGGAACACAGCAGGAGGCCACAAGGTGAGTGAGCCCCCAGGTAAGCTAACATTGACCTGCTGCCGTTGCTTTTGCTTGTTCTTGCCTGCTTGCTTTCTGTCTGCTTGTATTTGTTTTTCCCTGTTAAAATCCAAATGCCGTGCTGTTGAATTTTCTATGTCGTTTTTGCTTTTTGCTATTCTAGCCTGCTTCCATTTTGTCTGCTTGTTTGTGTCTGACCTTTCTGTAAGTTGAATGCCGTTCTGTTGAATTTCTCTGCTCGCCGTTTATGTTTCAGCAGCCAGTTAGCTTAGAGAGGAACGGGGAAGTTCTGCATCCCGTCTCTCTACCCTTCCCCCATCCCCCCTTCAAGCTTACGTCGATGTCGTAGGCATCCCAGGCTAACTCGGGTCGCCCTCCCACTAGACCAAGAAGTGGCCAATAGTGGATTTCCGCGACCGCCCCGGACAGCCTATCAGCCCTAATTAGGCATATCACTGCAAACAATCAAACCAGAAACAATACTCTTCCCCTCCTCCGGCCCGCCGCCCCATTCACCAGACTGGTAGGATGAGTCCAATCACACTAGCAGCCTGGAATGTTTATTCCCTTTTAGACAGTCCGAGGTGCAACTGACCGCAACGGAGAACGGCGCTAGTGGCACCGGAAGTGGCGCGCTACAAGTTGGACATCGCCGCACTCAGCGAGACTCGATTCTCCGAACAAGGCCAACTAGAGGAGGTGGGTGCCGGCTGCAGCAGTCGCCCCAGGGCAGAGAGACGGGACGCGGGCGTCGCCTTTGACACTTAGAACGACATGGTGGGACGACTGCCCTGTTTGCCACAGGGCACCAACGACCGCCTGATGAGCCTCCGCCTTTCTCTCCGCGGAGGCGAATTCGTCACCATCGTCAGCGCCTACGCTCCACCGATGACCAGTCCGGACGACGCAAGAGACGAATTCTAGGAGGACCTGTACGCACTCCTGGCGTCTGTGTCAAAGGCGGACAAGTTGAATGTACTTGGTGACTTCAAGGCCCGCGTCGGCGCAGACCACACTGCCAACAGAAGCGAAGAGACGAGTCCCAGGAAGCAGTCTTGAAGAAGAAGGAGAAGACGCGATCGCCGGGACACGAGCTTTATTAGCCTGACGTTTCGGATTCCTACTCGAATCCATCGTCAGAGACATAAGCAGATAAGGGTGGTTCATGCACATGCGGCTGCAGTATTTATAGGATGCAGTAGCCATGCTACCGCATACCTATGAATATTCACGACTCCCTCCCCTTCATCAGGGATCGTTGTACGTGGCGTGATGGTCGACATTCGCGTCGTTAATTGCTGCAATGTCATCACGTGCGTTGGATGTTGGTGTGATGATTGCTCGACCATCTGACGCGCTGACCCGGGTGTTGGGAAGAGTGTTCACCAGTGCGCTCCCCGCGTGGCCAATTACTCCGCCTAGACGAAGTCTCAGCACGCTGTATTATGGGAAGATCATTGCACTTGTTAATAGACTGGGGGCCAGTAAACCATGGCTCAAGCAGCTCCCGGCTCACGCGGTTGTCACCTCTTGCGAGAATTTCGACCTCGTCAAATTTGAATGTGTGGCCGGAACCCGTCAAATTAGCCGCAACTTGAGATCTGGCGTCATTTCTCCACACCGCTGCAGCGTGTTCGGCCATTCGCGTTCGGAGCAGTCTTCCGGTTTCTCCGACGTAGTTGCTTTGTCCGCAACTGCACCAGATCCGATAAACTACTCCAGACGTTTCTTGCCGTGGCAGTGGGTCTTTTGGTTTCATCAACTGGCGCCGGCCTGTGACGCCGGCCTCCGGCCTGTGTGCAACTCCAACCCCGAGTGGTGAGAGAAGGCGGCCAACAGCTTCCGAAACGTTCTTGACATATGGAAACGTTCGCCAAACTTTGGTGTCCGTGCGGTTAGGTCATTCGTCCATTTTGCATATGCACCGGTTGACAAAGTTGCGCGGGTAGCCATTGGCTTTGAAGACCCGTCGGAGGTATTGTAGTTCGGCAATCTTGTCTTCCGGCTCACTGCAGTGCGTTTCGACACGCCGATAGAGTGTCCTTACACAACTGCGCTTGTGACTGATTGGGCGGTTGCTGTTGGAGTTCAGTACTTGCATCGTATTTGCCGCTTTCCTGAACACTTTGGTCTTTAGTCCACCACAATCCTTGCGGCATACGAGGACATCCAGGAAGGTCAGCTGGTTGTTCTCTTCCTCCTCCATCGTAAATTGTTTGTCCGGGAAGACCGTATTCAGACGTTCCTTGAATGTCAGCAGTTGACCCCGGTCGATAACGACGAAGGTATCATCCACATACCGGGCCCAGAACTTCGGTTTGTGGTGTTGGAAGACCAGCGACTCTAACCGTTGCAGGACCGCCTCGGTGATGAACCCCGAAATCGGCGAACCCATTGGTGTGCCCTTCACCTGTTCGTAGATTGTCCCGTCGAACGTGAAGTACGTCCTGAGACAGAACTTCAGGAGCTGAAGGACTTGGTCGCATCCAAGACGATTCTCCGTTTCATCGTATTTGCTTTGTAGAAGCAGCTCGATTGTCTTGATCGCCAGGTCCTGGGGAATAGAAGTAAAAAGGGATGTAACATCAAAAGATGCCATGACCTCATTTGGATGGAGGCTTACCCCTTTGAGTTTCTCCAGGAATTCTGCTAACGAAGAGACCGTGGTGTCTGACTCAGCGGTCAGGAACTTGAGACGCCGGAACAGCCACTTAGCCAGTCCGTACGTTGGAGTACCTTTGTGCGACATGAGGGGTCGGAGAGGAGCGCCGTCTTTGTGCACCTTAGGGAGGCCATAGAATCGGGCCAAAGCCGTATCTTGGGGTTTCGCCATGCGTCTGTCGGTCGGTGTTATTGCACCTGAGTTCTCCAAGGCCAACAATGTAGCATTAATTTCGCGTGTCAGCGCTTTTACAGGGTTCGTTGCACATGGGGCATAGAACTGTAGGTCCTCCAGTAAACCTTTGGCTTTTTGAAGGTAGGCTGCCCTGTCCAGCACAACCGTGGAGCGCCCCTTGTCCGCTGGCACGATGACCAATTCTTTGTCGGCCTTGAGTTCTCTCAGCGCATCACGTTCGACCTTGGAAAGCACATTCCGCGGCCTGTGGGCCATCACCCGCTTGCCGCAATTAAAGACAAACGCTGACCTCAGTCTCCCGCCTTCTCTCTAGGAAACTATCAGAGCCGTGCAGCAGCTCTCCAGCGGGAAGGCACCAGGATCAGACGCAATCCCTGCCAAAATCTATAAGCATGGTTGCCCCCAACTCATGGATCACCTGACGGCGCTCTTTCAGGAGATGTGGCGTCAAAGAGAGGTCCCGCAGGATTTCAGGGATGCCACAACCCTGCACTGCTACAAGCGGAAACGGAACCGCAAAATTCGCGACAAAGACCAAAGCATCTCCGTATTTGACTTCGCCGGGAATATCTTCGGTTGCATCCTCCTCAACCGCCCGAACAACCACCTAGAACAAGGTCTCCTTCCGGAAAGCTAGTGTGGCTTCGGTCGTCGTCTTGAGACCATTGACATGATCTTCGCTGCCCATCAACTGCAGGAGAAGTGTCAGGAGATGCAGACCCACCTGTACTCTACCTTCGCGGATCTGACGAAAGTCTTCGATACGGTGAATCGTGAAGACCTATGGAAAGTCATGCAGAAATTCGGCTGTTCCAAACGATTCACTCAGATGATTCGTCGGCCCCACGGCGGCATGATGGCGCGTGTCACGTTCTTCAGTCCTATGTTATCTGCCATGCTGATGGACGCCCTGGGATCCACATAGCCTACAGGACGGACGGTCACCTCCTCAATCGCGTGTATTCACAAACACCGTCCACGAACTTCTCTTCACCGATGACTGTGCCCTCAATGCGACTAGTGAAGGAGACTTGCAAAGGAGCATGGATCTCTTCGGCGCCGCCTGCGACATCGTGAGCCTGATCACAAACGCGGAGATGGTGGTCATGTACCAACTGCCACCAAACACTGCCCAGAATTCGCCGCAAATGAGCGTGGACGGAACCCAACTGCAAGTGGTGGACAACTCCACGTATCTGGGCAGCACGCTCTCCCGCAGCACTAAAATTGACAATGAAGTGGCCCGCCGGATTTCTAAGGCCGGTCAAGCCTTCGGTCGACTTCAAAGCACAGTTTGGAATGGTCACGGTGTCCAACTCAGCACGAAACTGAAGATGTGCAAGGCCGTCATCCTACCGATGTTGCTGTATGGAGCAGAGACTTGGACGGTGCACATGAGGCAGGCACACACAGTCAAGCATTTTCAACTAAGTTTTCTTCGTTGTATACTGAAGCTGAGGTGGCCGGACCGGATCCCAAACACCGTCATACTGTAGCGGACGGGAATAATCAGCACCTACGCAATGCTGAGACAAATACAACTATGTTAGCGCGGCCACGACGTACGGATGGACAACGAGAGGCTACCCAAACGACTCTTCAATGGAGATGTCGCGACGGGTTCACGTCGACTATGAGGCCAAATTCGCCGATACAAGGATACTCTGAAAACCTCCCTGACAGCTGCCAAACCAACACGCATAGCTACATCGGGCAGTCAGTAACTCGACTGAGTGCAATGAGCGTGCGAGCCGATAATCTTGACCGACACACAGGCGCACAGCACCTGCATATTTCAACACCTGCCCAGTCGAGCCGTGATGCACTCGGGAGCTGCCAACCGTGATAGGCATACAGCGGCCTAGCAACTACATCCTGTAACTGCAGCAATACCTGGGCAACTTACCAGCCTTATCTGACTCTGTCTCTGATAATGGATCCAAAGCCTCAGGCTAATAAAGCTCTTGCTTCAGCGATTGTGTCTCCTTCTCCGTGACTACTTCCTAGAACTCGCCTGTTCACTTCTATTAAGGAATGGGAACGCCTATCCTCACGAAATACAACTGGCCTTGCGCTAAATTCGAGGAGGGGTACATATTTCCGTATCCTAACCCAAACTCCTACCATAACGTCTATCTCAATCTTTACCCTACATACAAGCATCAACCGAACCCTAATCATCAGCTTAGTTTGAATTTGTTTGAAATGTAGCGCAAAAGCACTTGCGTGAGGTAACTCGACCAGAATACAGTAGGTGGGCTACCATATGAAATACTAATCGAAATTCTGAAATGCGTCTCCGACTCGAAAAGATAACTGAGGTAGGGTTGTAACACTGATTATCGAGCAGCAGGATCCCTACATATTTCAGTCATATCACGATGCGAGCTTCTGAATGAGCTTTTTTCCGGCCACCTCCAATAAGCACATTCTATATAAAATGACTACTTACGTAGTCGGAATTTTCCTCCTTCATTTTTGTTGTCATCAAAAGTACTCGTCCTTCTTCTCATTTAGTGGCAAACTACGTCCTCGAAATCTGGGTGAGAATAATTTTATGCAAGAGGGGTGCCCTGATTCACAGTAATGATTTCGTACGCTTGTTGCGTAAAAGTACGAGGTTGAAAAGTTAACAAGGGTGCGTCCCCTGTACTGTGGCAAACTGAAGCACAGAAACTTGATACTGGTTATAGCATGCGTTTCATCGCTAAAGTCCCATTGTTAACCTGGTATAGATACTTTGAATATCGGCCCAACAATAAATGACACTCCGGTCTACATCCACTTCGAGCGCACTCTTGAAGACACCACCCATAAAGCACTTGCGGCATTGAACAAGCTCAGGCTTGAGAGCAAGACTAGGGGCTGGGAGTTCGAAAAATCAGCAAGACTCTACGACCAGGCTCTTCATTTGCCTTTGTCGCACGTGGAGGGCAGCATAGTCAACTAAATTAAATTGGGGCATAGCGCGTGTTGAACGACAAACATGTCTTTAAGCTAGCGAACGGGGTAGTACGAAATTGGCAACAGTTGTTTGCCACTTCCGTAGAATTTCTTGCGTGCATCTTTTCGAGAGATCCGATGCTTGCAAGGCAACCGAAAATCCATAATGCACTAAGCGGCATTAGATCAAATTGCGTATTTGTTTAGTATGATTGTGAATCGCGACTGTGAGTGGAGTACAGCTATCTATGCGGGTGATGAATAACCTTATGGGATTATATCCAGACGACAGATGCTTCCAACGCCAGTTGGCTTTCTAAAAGACCAGTATGCCAACTCAAACAGTAGGGGCAGAAACGGGAAGGAAGGTCCACCACTTCAAACCCCACACCCCTTTTTCCGAGTTGTCTAATTCTCCAGTTTTACTTAATCCTCCCAGATTCGACATGCGCAAACTCCACAAATAGGCGAGTAGATACGTACTCTAGGAAAGACCTCTTCGTCCCTTGAAGGTGAGGAAAAAAACGTCGAGGAGCCGGAAGAATAAAATCGTCGACTATATGCACCCTGAAAAGCACTGCATGAGCAAGTTCGTCTCGACCACGCCAAATGGCGCCCAGGTATTCAGCGGTGCCCGACGCCCAGTGACCGAGCTCCACCTTATCTTGCTCTCGTAATCCGCCCCATTATCACCATACATAAAATGTATGAGTCACCAGTCCTGTAATTGATTGTGATTAAGCCAGTTACCAAACGGCAGTCCACACAAAGCTGTTCTTTGCCCTGTGCAGAATGGGTTCAAATCTTAAACTATAGAAATACTTCCTCTCTTCGAAAGGTGAAACTCTGCACGGTGTCTAAGATACTACATCAAACATGGCAAACACCAGAGTCCCCGCGTTTCAAATCCGCTGGTAAACACTCGACATAGAAAAATGAGGACACATTGCTTCGAAAAGGACAGAAAAGTGGTATGATAATGTTATTGGAAATGGTAAAAAAAAACTCAGGCGCATATAAGGGCGCAATGGGAAAATTATGCTTCTGCAGGGGCAGTCTCGGCAGCTGGCGCTTCACCTTTATCGGTTGCTTCTGACGAACTAAAGCCGGTCTGAAACGTAGATTTAGATCATAGGCAAAGTTAAACGTTCCATGGGGAAGCATGCCAATGAAGAGAGACATTAGATACCTAGTATACAGGGACCGAAAACGTACAAAGATCTCTATACCAAATGTCAGCTTCGCTTCAAAAAATAAATACCTAGCAAATCTCCAAGACAATTACCATTTGCAAACGCTT